ATGACCTAGTAACTCAGGGACAACTATTTTTGAAGTTCTAGAGCGACTTTAATGCAATTACTTTTATAAAACTATCTTTTTTTTTTTTTTTTTTTTTTTTTAGGGCTTGCTCTATGGGAGTGGAAGTAAGAGCCAGGAATGAGTGCATCTCTCTTCACGTGCTTTTCCACCTAGTGCCCTGACTCTGTTACACACTGAAACAGGCCTACATAGATGTTACGACTTCCCTTCCTCTGTCAGAGATGTCATCTGTGCCTTTCTCAGTGTTCTTCTGATAATGTAAATTTAAATGCCTCTACATTTGATAGGAAACCCACACTCAGGTGACACTGAACCAGGTGGCTTTTGTTCCACCAGTGCCTCACCATCAATGTGAGGCGATTCTTCTCTGCTTTAGGAAAACGATATTTTCCCCCTGAACTTGTGCCAACCATCAACAATATTTCCTTAGATCTTATGGATTGTAGAACTGTTGGCTGTTTCCTAAATTTATTCCAAGTTCTCGTAGAGGCATGTAGATTTCAGTCTGTGCTCGTATGGGATAGACGATCTCAGTGGCTTTCTGGCCTCTTGAGTTTAAAATCCATATGAGGTTGACTTCTTGTTATTCTAAGGTAACGTGTGTGAGGTTATTCCACTAGTACTGTGATCACGTGGGTGTCAGTATCTTTAACGGCCTTCATTCTTGGTTGGGAAATTTGATTTGATGTGCTCGCTCACCCTCTACAAATTTGCCCGCTCTGGGCTGTGGTGCCTGTGTATCTTTGCCCCTCTGGTCTCCAGTTGGTGGAATTACCTTTTTTTGTACTGCCACTTCTCAGCATCTTTGAAATTTGACATAATGTTGCTTCGTTTCAGTTTTTTTAGTTCTGTAATTTGTTGATTGTATTTAACGATGTGAGTTCTGTTGTGATGTTGACTGTATTGTAAAGCACCTCGTTCATGTGATGGGTGCTCTATAAATCAATAAATGACGACTTAGAGGCTGTATCATGAGCTGTTTTGGTTTTAGGATGCAGGTCTCAAAAGCAAGTTGTGGGACTCTTTCTGTATAAACAGCACATGATGCCAAAGGGACCACAGGGAAACCTCGTATTTCACAGACTTTAAAGAAGGAACCAGAGACGTTAGCTTACCTTCCAAGCTGATGATGATGCTCTTTAGATTTCCAGGACGTGGCCACGCACCATTTTAACTCAGAGTCTGTGTGCACTGTGATTTAGAACCTTCAGGTGAGCACATATGAGAACATTATTGGGGATTTTGCCTTTGGCCTCCACTGGCTCTGCCATAAAGATAAGCTGGAAGGTGAGGAACCCAGACTCAAATGTGAACTGTCACATCTCAGTCACCACCTCTGTCCTCTAAACGGATGGGAAAATGCCCCAATATCTGCCCAGGGGTCATGTAGTAAGTTACTGACGAAAGAGGTAAGACTGAGTAGAGGACCTTCTTTACAAGATATACAAGATATCAACATCCAGCTTTTTATCCTGAATCTTTACAGATAGTTCATACGGAGTTAGCGTTAGGTGTTGAAAGCTTATTTATCCTTGATATAAATCGCTAGTGACTATTAAGGCCTCTTCCTTACAAACTCGGAGAAATGAACGTGGTGTCAGAGCTCTTGTTCAGCTAAATTATAAACAAGGAAATCCCCCGAGAGGAGTTTTGGGAAGATTAGGGGTTATTTCCAGAGTGCAAATTCTCGACAAATATATTTGGAATAAACTTGTGGAAGGGTCTAGACAATATCCCCAAACTGACATCAGTTTTAGACATAATTCAGCTACTCAAGGTATAGAGCCAAAACGTTTTATTTGCATGCTGCTTGAAATGCAAATGAACAGGTTTTCCGTGGTGTATGTGAGGCACTAGGCTTCCAGGAAAGATGTGGATCTCCCTCTCCCTCTCATGGGACAGGGCTAATAACAACCTTATCAAATTCAACCCTTTTCTGCCTTGGGGAGGCCCACAACCCTCAGGATTCAGTTCACAGATCACATTATTTGCTGGGCATGGTATTTCTGGTCAGTTTCAGATGTGTGTAATCTGGCTGCCAAGGCAGGATTAGGCTTTTTGGCTTGTTGAGTTGGTACTCCTCCCTGAGCTTTAGTGAAATGATGAAAGAATTTTGAATTCTGTTCACACAGGTAAATAAACTGAAGGAAAAGCCTTTCACAAAAGGCAACCAAACACATCCAAAGTCATAGGAGCAGCACAGAAAGTCCTAGGCAAGAAACTTGATTTTTTTCCTCCTCTCAGCAGTATCCAATGTTCACAGTGACTTCCATTTATTCCCAACAAGAGTGCTGGAAATCAGGTTTTTTCTTTTTGTTGAGCCTCTCTTTTGTGGCAAGCTTGTGCTATGTGTTTTTCCTAAAGGTTTTAGTCACATTCTTAGAAGAAGCTTCCAAAGTAATAATTTCTCATGAGGAAACAGGCTCAGGTTAATTTGCCATCGCTGTGGAGCACACAAGTTGCATGGCTGGGATTCAGTTCCACCGCCTCCCTGACCTACTGGGTGCTATTAGCCCTTCTTCACAGGTCAGGAAACCAGAGCCCAGGAACACTGACTTTTCTAGGGTCAGAGAGAGCATGGATGTGTCGAGACTGGTACTTGACTCAGTTCATCCGAGTACCAGTGGAGGTGTCCTCCTCTTCTTGCCCTGCCATAATACCGCACTGCCTCCCGAGTCTGTTCCCCTGTGCTCTTGAAGCTAAGGCAAACGGCATTTATTCCCTTCCTGTTCTTCATGTACCTTGCCTGAGACACCACCACACTAAGTTCCTCTGAATCTGACTGCAAAACCTGAAGTGGGTGTAAACTGAACCATACTCCAGTGCTCAGCTTTTTCAAGACATCTGTATTTCTGGTTATAGCTAATGTTATAGCTCCATCCAAACCTGGTGGGTGTTGTAGTTTACTGAGTACTACGAGTGCTTTATTTCACAGGCTTTACTACATTCTCTGTAACTCTGGGGTTACAGGCCAGTAGGAGCCCCCCCCAAAAGACAAGGGCTGGCTGGGCGTGGTGGCTCACGCCTGTAATCCCAGCACTTTGGGAAGCCGAGGTGGGTGGATCACAAGGTCACGAGTTCGAGACCAGCCTGACCAATATGGTGAAACCCCGTACCTACTATAAATAAAAAATTAGCTGGGCGTGGTGGCATGTGCCTGTAGTCCCAGCTACTTGGGAGGCTGAGGCAGTGAGGATCAAGGAGGCGGAGGTTGCAGTGAGCTGAGATTGCGCCACTGCACTCCAGCCTGGGCAACAGAGCGAGACTCCATCTCAAAAAAAACAAAACAAAACACACGAACAAAAACAACAGACAAGGGCCCAGGGATACCGTTAAGCCATTTCTAAGATGGGTACTTTGACCTCTGGTAGAGGGCTCCTTAGCGTGAGGTTGTGATGAAGAGGCAGTCAAGCCCCTGAGGTGAGCAGTCCCTTCAGGCGAGTTCTTTGATCATGGACACCTAGTCCAAGCACACTCTGAAAGGGCACACGTTTGTTTATTCCTGCATGTGTGCTA